TTCATCTTTCATAGAAATTAACAGATAAAGTAGAGAACAAATCAACTTAACTCTCTTAGGTAGGCTCCTACACAGCCTAAGTACTTATACAACCTAATGAAAACCATCAAAATCCCAGTGAAGAAAAAAACACAGAAATGAGTATCAGAAGAGCAAGTCATCTCATTCTTCATCTGTATCAATAGTGAAAATGAGAATTGCTTTTATTCAGTGTGTACTAAGTACAAGACATTGCTAAGTTCTTTACATACAAAACGTGAAGAATCTGTCAAATTTTGACAAGTCTGCAATGAAGGCATTATCAATTATCCACATATTATAGATTTAAAAAAAAAAAAAGAGAAGTTCAGTAACTTTTCTAAGGTCAGACAGCTAGCTAGTGCTAAAACTGGGATTTTAGCTCTAAAGCTCACCATGCTTTTTTCAGTATTGCTTCCTTTGCTACGTCAGTTAAAATTGTCAAGTTAACAAACATTAGACTATACTTGCCCTCTGTAACTGCTGATACCATCTTGAACTGAGATATATGCTCTGGAAATAAAATTAGCTCAAGTACTAGTCAACTTTTCCAATGGCTACATCTTCTGGATCTTATACTATTACATCCTGACATGTTAAAGAATTTTTCTTACTGGACATATTATAGTTCTCTTTAAGTTTAAAATTTACTTCTCCTTTTACACTCATTCAGCCAGAAAAAAAATCTACTAGGTACATCAGATTGCTTGGCTTTGTAAACAGAATACTCATTTATACAGTTAAGTTCCCAGAAAATAAGCTTTCTTTGTTCGAAGACTGGACCCTACCAAGCATTCTTATGTTTTAATAATAAATTCCCTATTTACTCTAAGAACAAATTCTTCAAAAGCTTGATTCTAATACAAACATGTAAAATTTCTTTTTTCTTTCTTTTTATAAAGGCACTAGTCTGTGTTTGTATAGATGATCAATAATAAAGCACATTATCAGAAATTTTAAAACAAAAAGTCCATAAATTTGGTATAACACATCTTTAAAGGGCCAAAAATCAGAATTCATGAATATAGCTCCTCAGTCTGAAACAGACTTTAAAATGATCTAAAATTATCGAATTTCATGTATACGGAACAGTTTGAATCATTCATGTGTGATAGATAAATGTATCTGTAGTTAAAATTATATTGCTTTAAATTATGCCCTTGTTTTATGTTTCTAAGTTTTATAGAGTTTTATGTACTGTAAAATCATCTATATTAACCTTTGACAGGTTTATTCTGGTAAAGGAGATTTGCACCTGAGCAATCTACTTGGAATAAAAATCATGGATGACATTTTTTTATATCATATCTTCCTTTCTTCCTTCTTAAACAATAAAGTTCTATACATAACATCTATCTATTGGTGACTAAAGGAATCTTTAAAATAATAAGGATATCAGGTCAAGGAAGCATAAGAGAGGGAAAACCAATTATACTAACTATGCCATTTCAATTTTTGATAATGGTCTAACATTTACTCCAATCCTCATTCACAGTAAGAATAAACGCTCAAGTCAAACCCTCTCTACCATAACGTAAAATAGGTCTAACTGTGCCACATGTCTAAGTCTGTGCCTTTATTTGCATGCGCTTTCCTTTCCTTTTTAACTATGAGCTAGATCAGGGGTCAGCAAACTTTTTCTGTAAAGGAACAGATAGTAAATATTTTAGACTATGTGGGAAACAGGACTGCTGTTGCAACTATTCAACTCTGCAGCTGGAGCACAAAGGCAGCCATAAACAATACATAAACGAATAGGTATGGCTGGGTTTGGCCCACAACCAGTAGTTTGCTGACCACTGAGCTAAATCATGGGGAAAATGTGAAAAATAGCCCATCTTAACATTTAGCCTGACAAAAGAAACCACTCATAGACATGCTGAGTTTAGACTACTTTAGAATGCTAAATTCAAGAGTCCACTGAAATTAGATCTTACTTTTCCAGATAGCCACACATTTTTGCTAAGCATATGACCAAACAAACAATGCCACTACTAATCACATCCTAACAGTGGCCAAGATTTCTAAATTATCTTCTTCCTCCTCTCTTACCTCTTTTTCCCAACTCACCCCAAATTCCAATGGATGTAATACACATCTTTTATTCCAGGGAGGTGAGAGTTATCACCACCTCTTCCCTATATAAAAAGTGAATTCCATATCTCCTAACCCTGCTGACAAACAGAGGTAGAGGCTGACTCCATTGCCACTCCCCTTCTCCCTTGTTGTCTTCCAATATAAAAGCTGAACAAGTTAAACGCTAATTTTCTCAGCCTCCCTTGCAGCTCAGGGTGGCCATGTCATAATAAAGTTCAGGACAATAAATACTATGAAGGACCATAGGGAGGAGTTCTGAGAAAATTTTTACTTTTTTAAAAAAAAAGGAGGCTGTGGGGATAATTTTACCCAAAGAATTTGGTCTTTGTCCTTGGTTTCTGAGAGATAACCTCAAAAACTTTGGACTTTCCCCAATGACTGAAGTGTTTTTGATGAGGATTCCAGACCATACCTAAGGGTTTATGGCTCATGTTGGGTGAGGGCTGACTAAGAAAGAAAGACCCACTATATAGTATGATATTAACCTCTCCTGATATCTACTGACCTCAGGGGAAAGAAGCTGGAGTATGAATTGCATAATGAGACCCTGATAAAATCTCTGGATACTGACACTCCATGAGCTTCCTGACTGGTGAAAATACATCAACACAGGTGGAAAGGAAGCATATCCCAAGTTCCACATTAAGAACTCCACCCTATGCATCTCTTCATTTGTATCCTTTTTGTTACACTAAACCTGTATGTATCATGCTTTACAGAATTCTGAGTTGTTCTAGCAAATTATTAAACTTGAGGGAGTAATGGGAGCCAGCTGGTCAGAAATAAGGGAGAGCCCCGGGGACCCCTGAGCTTAAAATGGTATCCTGAGGTGGCAGTGGTGTCTTGGGCACTCTAAGCTTGGTGGCATGTGAGGTCTTGGGCAGAGCTGGCAGTCTGGAAGACTACGCCCTTTAACTTGTGAGGTGTGTCTCAGCTCCCAGTGGTCAGGGTCAGAGGAAGAAGTGCTGCACGTACAGCTGGTGTCAAAACAGAAGTGGAGCAGAGGGGAACAGAACTGATAATAAATTAATATTGTATATGATTGATCCTTGCAGTCTGGCGTCAGAGAAGTGGGATTTGATTTTCCACATAGTGGAGGAGTAGCAACTGCCATGACCTCTTTCTCTTTTCTTTCTGCCCTAATACAGACGTGATGTTTGGAATTGGAGCAACCATTTTACAACCATGAGAAAAAGCTCAAAGCACTGCAGAGATGTCAGCCCTGAAAACTTGAAGCCACAGAACCAATTCCAGGTACCACCTATCTCCAGACTTCTTGTTATGTGAGGAAAAACAGATGCTCTAAACTGAGGTTTTTGTTGCAAATGAAAGCATCTGCATCCTTCCTTTTCTTGAAAATGTTAGTGGCCCAAATCACTACTCTCCGGGAAGTCAAAGAACAAAACTAGCTGAGCATAGTTTGTTGGTGAATTCTGACTAAACAGCATTAATTACTTCACCTGAGAAAGAAAAGTGGCAGGAAGAATGACACAAAAAGAGCGTCTGGGTAGACAATCTAGGGTAATCACGTCAAAGAGGGCAAAGGAAAGGGCCAAGATGATTATGCAAATGTTAAGCGTTATGTTGTTGTTAGGTGCCGCTGAGTCGATTTTTGACTCATAGCGACCCCATGTGACAGAGCAGAACTGCCCCACAGGATTTTCTAGGCTGTAATCTATACAGGAGCAGATCCCCAGCTCTTTCTCCCATGGAGGCACTGGGTGGATTTAAACTGCCAACCTTTTGGTGTTATAGAAGAAAAAAAATAATTGAAAAACTACTACTTTAGAATTTGAGGCCGATAAATAAGCCTTATTAGTGTTCTACTCAGCAAATCAAGTCTGAGAATTTGGATTTTATTAATTTCCTATCATGCACTACCAGTAGTTGAAAATGTAACTTCAGGACTCATTTTTTATAGTTATATTCTTGTGTTTTTTTTCAAGCTAATTAATTTATCCTTATGCTCCCATTTCCTTGGTATTCATAAAGGTAGAGTTACTGACAATATATGATAATTTTTGACACTTGCAGAATCTTTGAAATAATTATTAACAAGCAAGTTAATGACGATACTGACAATAAATTCAATGGTTCCTCTAAGCATTTACAGACTAGTGTAGCTGGTGGATTCATTCCCCTAACTTTAGGAACAGTCACTTCTACATCAATGCCACTGCATAAAATACGCAAAGACAAGTAAATCAACCCATTCAAAAGAAATTTCAGAAATATGCTTATTTTAACTCACATACCGATTAAAGTACAACTCTTAAAACACCTGTTTTCACTCTACTTTCTTATAAACAATGCAATACACAGACACACATAACTCTCTCTAGTTCTAAACCCAATAGTTTTCTCCTCCATGAAAAGGGTTTGGCGGTTTTATGCTGCATCATAAACACGTTTCAATTATAACATCTATAAATTACAAACGTGTGCATGCGTGCGTGCGCGCACGTGTGTGTATGAGAGATTTCAAAACAGAATTCCTTAGAACTGTTAAAGTTTGAGCTAGAAAGAATACCAAATATAAAGAGGTTTCAGGATCAGTTACGGTAGTGGAACAAAATTTAATAAAGTTCCAAAACTACATTTTAATGTCCAAATTTCTTACTGTCTTTTTTAGTGACAAATATGTGCTTCACAGCATAACAGCAGCAGAAGAACAGCTGGATGGCCATATCAAGCACAAAGGAAGCAGCAGCGCATGCTGTTAAGTGTCATTCTGATTGCCTAGAAATGGCAGCACACGCAGATTTATTCCCTGTTATAAATTAGAACAATTATTTCTCTGTAGTTTACATTTTCTCCATGACATTTTCTCTATGAAAGAGTCAAACTTTCTGCAAGTTAAAAAAGAGAACGTTCAAAAAGGATATCTTCCCTTTCTTTGATGATAAGTTCATTCTGTTCTTCCAACTGTCTGATCTTCTTCTCAAATGATTCCTGCTCAGCTTTTAATCGTTCTTCTGTTACTTCCTTTTCCTCACTTACTCTGAAAGAAAAACAAGAAGTGGGGAGAAAAAGCCTGTTAGAATAAAATAAAATGTGCCTATAGCTATGGTTTACCAAAACTAGATTGTTCCAGAGGTTTCTGTATGTTAAATTCTTTTCTCATTCTTTTTTTTTCATTCATAAGGCAATCTTTCTCACCTTTGTAATAAAATACACATGTGATTTTACATCAAGAATGTTTCCAATAACAAAAAAAAAAAAAAAAAAAAAAAAAACCATTGCCATTGCACCGATTCCAACTCATAGTGAAGCCCTATAGGACAGAGCAGACCTGACCCATAGACTTTCCCAGGAGTGCCTGGTGGTTAGCAGCCGTAGCTCTTAACCACTACACCACCAGGGTTTCCAATCATAAGAAGTATCTTAAAAATGGAAAGTTCTACACAAGGCATAGGTACCCAAATATAATCCAGGAAAGAAAAATATTCCAATTCTTAAAACACAGGCTTCATTTCTTCATGATCAAAATAGGCACAACCAATTTACTTTGATTTAGACTTTTTTCATACTTTTACTTAAATTCTGCAATGAAATAAATAACATATATGTCTCTAAAATGGTTCACTTTTTCCTGGTACTTACAACCTTCATTTCTCAGTAGCATATAAGTAACTGGACTTGGAAAAAAAATATGGTACTAACATAAAGGAAAGTTTTCACTATATTTATTCTTTATAAATTTATTATAAATTTAAAAAATAACCAAAAAAATCTATATTATTAATGTTTAACTCTGAAAAACATTCCTACTCAATCCCACCAAAAGAGGTGGTTTATATCAAGAGAGCGCAGAGAAAAAAAATCTTAAAAAGGTAAACAACAATAAATCTTATCATAAAGGTCACCAAGGCATATTTCAGAACAATGCTCATTTTCATGCAAATCGATAAGTAGATCTTAACCCTCCATTTCTTTGTTAGTGATGCTTATTTCTCTAGAGGGCATGATACAATTATCCTACATTAGTATACAGGGATATGGAAGTGATATCCACAAGGAATCCAAACCTTTTCTTTGAGTTCCTAAATTTACTTCCTCACCATCTGTCTTAGTCATTTAGTGCTGCTGTAACAGAAATACCACAAGTGGATGACTTTAACAAAGAGAAATTTATTCTCTCACAGTCTAGTAGGCTACAAGTCCAAATTCAGGGCATCACCTCCAGGGGAAGGCTTTCTGTCTGTGTTAGCTCTGCAGAAAGGTCGTTTTGATGCATCAGTCTTCCCTTGGTCTGGGAGCATCTCAGCGCAGGAACCTCAGGTCCAAAGGACGCGTTCTGCTCCTGGCACTGCTTTCTTGGTGGTATGAGGTCCCCCTGTCTCTCTGCTTACTTCTCTCTTTCATATCTCAAAAGAAATTGGGTTAAGACACTACCTAATCTTGTAGACCTCATCAATATAACTACCGCTAATCCATCTTATTACATCACAGTGATGGCATTTACAACACATAGGGAAATCACATCAGAAGATAAAATGGTAGATAATCATACAATACTGGGAATCATGACCTAGCTAAGTTGACAGATATTTTTGGGGGACACAATTCAATCCATGACACCATTCTACCACAGAAACTTCTGAATAACATAAATCCCATAGGCTTTTCTCCGTTGCTTTCTCTCTGGTAGACATATTGACATTAATGAGATAACCAAATGAAAAATAGAATTTTGAATGTTCAAGAGTTGAATGTATTCTGTTTTTGAAATAATTTTTGTGTGAAAGCACATGGCACACAGTAGTGCTCAATAAATGAGTTTATTTCTTCTTGCTCCTCATGACATTCAAATCATTTCTCAGCCCGTATTTTTTATATTTACCGTATTACTAAACCTATGAGTGCGACCCATATCCTGCCTTCCAGGTGGGCTATCTTTAGACTGATATAAGAAAGCCAGAACAACTAAACAAAGAACAAATATACACACATAAAGAGGATTTATACCAGCGCTTCGAACCAGTTCTGCCCAGCTCACTCATGGCTGACGAAGCGAAATCCAAAGGAATTCGAATTTTAAAATGTGAGCAAACCAGAACGATAAGCAGAAGGGGAAAAATTACAGTAGAAGCCCTGTTAGAAACTTAATCTCCCGCTTAGAAAACAAGGGCAGTGTGTATGTTGCATAGCAACCAAATCTCTTGACCAGCAGAGTCTGAAACAGCATCAGGCAGATGAAAGGGCTCATTATGCCTCTTTGAAGTCTCCTGTTCCAGGGCTCCGACCAGTAATTCTTCCATTCCCATTATCATTCCGCTTAGGGCAAATTTTAAAAATTCGAGCCTGTTCTGATTTCACTTCATCGGCCATAACTGAACCAGTACAAAACAGTTCAAAACCCAGATTTATGCTCTGTTATAAATACTGACACAGCATGAGAAGATAGAGTTGGCAATCTACTTCTGAAAAAATTAGCCAGTGAAAACCTTATGGACAGCAGTGGACCAGTGTTTGATATGGTGCCAGAAGATGAGCCCCTCAGGTGAAGGCCCTCAAAACAGGACTGGAGAAGGGCTGCTTCCTCAAAGTAGAGTTGCCCTTAATAACGTGGAGTAAAGCTTTCAGGACTTTCATTTGCTGATGTGGAATGACACAAAATGAGAAAAAACAGTTATAAACATCCATTAATAACTGGAATGTGGAATATATGAAGTATGAATCAAGGAAAATTCAAAGTTGTCAAAAATGAAATGGAACACTTGAAGATCGATATCTTAAGCATTAGTGAGCTGAAATAGACCAGTATTAGCCACTTTGAATCAGACAATCATATGGTCTACTCTAATGGAAATGACAAATTGAAGAGGAATAGCATCGCATTCATTGTCAAAAAGAACACTTCAAAAAATCTATCCTGAAGTACAACACTGTCAGTGATAGGATAATATCCACACAACTATAAGGAAGACCAGTTAATATGATTATTATTCAAATTTACACATTAACAACTAATGCCAAAAATAAAGAAATTGAAGATTTTTACTAACTCCTGCAGTCTAAAATTGATCAAATGTGCAATCAAGATGCATTGATAACTACGGGTGATCGGAATGCAAAAGTTGGAAACAAAGAATCAATACTTGGGAAACCTCATGATAGAATTTTGCAAGAACAACAACTTATTCACTAAGTATACCTTTTTTCAACATCATAAACAGCAACTATACATGTGGACCTCACCGGACGGAATACACAGGAATCAAATAGAATACATCTGTAGAAAGAGATGATAGAGAAACTCAATATTATCAGTCAGAACAAGGCCAGGGGCCGACTGCAGTACAGACCATCAACTGCTCATATGCAAGTTCAAGTTGAAGCTGAAGAAAACTAAAACAAGTTCACAAGAGCCAAAGTAAAACCTCGAGTATGTCCCACCTAAATTTAGAAAACATCTCAAGAAGATGCATAGAACACTAATGACTCAAGAACAGACAAGCTGTGGGATGATATCAAGGACATCATATATGAAGAAAGCAAAAGGTCATTATAAAGACAGAAAAGAAAAAAAAAGACCAAAAAAGATGTCAGAAGAGACTCTGAAACTTGCCCTTGAATGTAGAATAGCTAAAGTGAAAGAAAGGAAGGATAAAGTAAAAGAGCTGAACAAAAGACTTCAAAGGGTGGCTAGAGAAGACAAAGTAAAGTATTATAATGAAATCTGCAAAGATCCTGAGTTAGAAAACCAAAAGAGAATAACACGCTCAGCATCTGTCAAGCTGAAAGACTGAAGAAAAAAAATCAAGCTTCGAGTTGCAATACTAAAGGATTATATGGGCAAAATACTGAACAACACAGGAAGCATCAAACAAAGATGGAAGGAATACACAGAGTCACTGTGCCAAAAAGAAATGGCTGACGTTCAACCATTTCAGGAGGTAGCATATGATCAAGAACCAATGATACTGAAGGAAGAAGACCAAGCTGCACCAAAGGCACTGGAGAAAAACAATGCTCCAGGAACTGACGGAATACCAATTGAGATGTTTCAACAAACGGATACAATGCTGGAGGCACTCACTCATCTATGCCAAGAAATTTGGAAGACAGCTACCTGGCCAACCGGCTGGAAGAGATCTATATACGTGCCTGTTCCAAAGAAAGGTGATTCAACGAAATGCAGAAATTATCGAATAATATCATTAACATCACATGCAAGTAAAATTATGCTAAAGATAATTCAAAAACGGCTACAGCAGTGTATCAATAGGGAACTGCCAGAAATTTAAGCTGGAGTAAAAGAGGACTTGGAAGGAGGGATATCATTGCTTATGTCAGATGGAACCCTGTGTTTTACTACTACACAAAGGCAACTGACTATGTGAATCATAACAAATTATGGATAACATTGCAAATAATGAGAATTCCAAAACACATATTGGTGCTTATATGGAGCCTGTACATAGACCAAGAGGCAGTCATTCAAACAGAGCAAGGGGATACTGCATGATTTAACATCAAGAAAGATGTGTGTCAGAGTTGTATCCTTTCACCATATTCAAGTTGTATGCTGAGCAAATAATTCAAGAAGCTAGACTATATGAGGAACGCAGCATCAAGACAGGAGGAAGACTCACTAACCACCTATGATACGCAGATGATACAACCTTGCTTGCTGAAAGTGAAGAGGACCTGAAGCACTTACTGATGAAGATGAAAGACTACAGCCTTCAGTATGGATTACGCCTGAACATAAAGAAAACAAAAATCTTCACAACTACACCAATAAGCAACATCATGATAAATGGAGAAAAGACTGAAGTCATCAAGGGTTTCATTTTACTTGTAGACACAACCACCTCCACAGAAGCAGCAGTCAAGAAACCAAACAACGTATTGCATTGGGCAGATACGCAGCGAAAGACCTCTTTAAAATGGTAAAAAAAACAAAGATGTCACCTTGAGGACTAAGGTGCACGTGACCCAAGCCATGGTATTTTCGATCGCCTTATATGCATGTGAAAGCTGGACAATAAATAA